AAAAAAAGCACCGAAATGTGCGCTGCTTTTCGGTCTGGTTACTAGTCTTTATATCAGATACCGGTACCCATCCCTAGTGTTGACTCCACCAGAGTTGGCCCAACTTCAGTAGTACACCACAAAACCTTTAATTAATGGGTTGTCCAGCCACCACCTGTTCACATGAGATCATCATGGTAATGACCAAAACAATAACATCGCAGATACAAGCATCCTCCACACTGTCTGGTCTCAGCCTCAGGGTGAGAAGTTGGAGTTCCAGGTGAGGTGGGGAAGGCCTCTGGTCAGAATCCTTCAGGAGGTTTTACCACAACTGAGAGTAAAACCTGGATTAGACCCAGAACTCTGTGTCTCACCTGACCTGGGAGCACATCAGGATCTCCCAGGATGAACTGGGAGTGGTGGTGGGGAAAGGGGTCTAAAATGGTCAGTTTACCCTCTTGTCAATGCGACCTCACTTCAGATAAGGAGAAGGAAATGGATGGATGTCCAGGTCTGCTTGTTCATACACAGCATGCGTTTTGACTTGCAGATAAATTCTCAAAATATGGCATTAACTATTTATTTCTAAAATAATTCCCATTTCTAACAGGAAATCATGTGTAGTGCCAAACAATCAATATCCCCTCCCCGGGAGAGTATAAAGTGCTTTCTGCTGTCAGAATAAACTCTTCTGGACCGCTTGCGGCTTTCTAATGAGCTGCACTTTGTTTTTATTTTTCCCTTTTTTGTAACACAGGGTCATTCTGTTTCTTCACTCTGCCAGGAAAATAAGCCTAGATTGTTCTTCCTGTACATATGAGCAGGTTTTGACTGTGTCTCATCCATTACAAACCACATTTATCAAGCCTCTCACATATATTGAGAAAGCCGCAATAATAATCTGGTGTCAGAGGTACGAGCTGATGTTCCCTCATGCTCGTGGCGATTTTCTGAAAATGAGAAAAGTTTGTGAGTTAACTCTGCTATAAATGGGCTGTGAAATATTTATGATGGGAAGATGTCAGAAAGAGACGAGGATATGGAGAGATGAAGTGGTTCTGAGAGAGAGAGAGAGGTTTCATTTGGGGAGGGTTCAGATCTTGTTCACTGTCCACATT